TAAGAATATGATACAAAAAAAAACTGAAGTGTCCTAAACAGACTAAGCGTAGAAAAATGGAAGCTTACAAATCTATTAGTGAGGATTCTGAAGAAAAAGCATGGTAGATAAAGTCTCTTTTGTGTAACAAAATATGCAAACCATTGCAAACAAACTGTGAGCAGAAAAAAAAATTAAAGTTAAAAGTGATACGGTGGTTCGCAGACTAATATTCTGCCTGCAGGACTGGTGTTCTACGTGGGCAACAGTTTGAGTTCTGGCTGAAATACTCCTAATCCAGCTCCCTCTTTATGGCCTGGGAATCAGCAGAGGATGGCTCAAGTCCTTGGGCCCATGTCCAGGTAGGAGACGCAGAAAAAAATCTTGTCTCCTGGTTTCTGATAGGTTCAGCTCTGGCCATTGGAGCTATGTGGGGACTAAAATAGCAGATAGAAGATATTTTTTTCTCTGTATCACATTCTCTTCATAAATTTGTCTTTTAAAGAAAATAAATAAATCTTAAAAAAAAAAAAAAAAACACTGATGCCAGTGGGCTACACTGAAGCTTCAGCCTGCAGTGCTAGAATCTATTATGGGCACTGGTTCAAGTCCCTGCTGCTCCACTTCCCATCCAACTCCCTGCTTGTGGACTGGGAAAGCAGTAGATGATGGTCCAAAGCCTTAGGACCCTGCATTCACGTGGGAGACCCAGAAGAAGCTCCTGGCTCCTGGCTCCTGGCTCCTGACTTCAGATCAGCTCAACTCTACCACTGTAGCCATTTGGGAAGCAAACCAGCAGATGGAAAATACAAATATAAGTTGCACATGGCATAGAAACGAGTGTCTGGGGCTAGAGGGCAGACTTAGTGGCAGGCAGAATAATGCTTCCCACAAAACTTATGGGCAGTGCATTTTCTGTTGCTAATGACACAGAGTCACATAGCAGGTAATGATAAAGGACAGCTGTACTTGGATTCATAGTTCTGATCCAAGGTTGAGGGCTACATCTGCTGATGGCCTTCTAGATGACAGAGTCCTGACAGCAATACATGTTGAGACTGAGCCAAACTAGCTTCTATACCAGACCCATTCCTAAGATAACAGCCTAACCCAATAGCCCACTGATTTATGATATTAATGAACCCATTAATCCATCCATGACATGAAAACTCAAATCACCTCTTGGAGGTTACACCTGGTCATATTTCTTGATATCACATAATGGGAATTAAATTTCAATATCAGTTTAGTGGGAACAAATTATATTAAATTACATGACAGGATCCATTTGCTCATACCAGAACCTATGAATATGTTATCATAGCTGGCAAAGGGGGAGCACAGAAAATAGATATTAAAATGAGAAGCTTAAGGACCAATGTTGTGGCACTGCAGGTTAAACTGCTGCCTACAACCCCAGCATTCCATATCAGCACTGTTTTGAAGCCAGGCTGCCACACTTCCAATCCAACTCACTGCTAAAATGCCTGGGACTCCACCACCCTCATGGGAGACTCCTGGCTTTAGCCTGGCCCAGCCCTGGGGAGTGGATCCATAGATGGAAAATCTCTCTGTATCTTCTAACTGCCTCTCAAATGAATAAATATTTAAATAAATAAGTAAAATAAGATGAGCAGATTGTGCTGGATGATATAAATGAGTTCAATGTCATCACAGGAGATAAGGCTAAAAAGCAAAAGGCCTCCTCAACCCAAGCATTATAAGGAAACTATTCTTCCCTGCAAAGCGGCTGACAACTCCTGCCAGCTGCTGCAGAGCCACAGACATCCCTGATAAAGTTGTCAAAACAAAGAACATGCAAAAAGCAGGATCCAGAACAGGGTGCCCATGCCTGTAAAATGACTGAATGAAAAGGCTGCAAACCTTTCATAAAACACATAGGACAATAAATTTCAATTCAGTTCAAAATGTTTATTAGCCATGTGCCATCTACTATGCACAGCAGTTGGCTCTGAGGAGCTAGACCTGTCTAGACAAGCCAAGCTCCTACCCTCCTTAAGTGTACAGACCAAGTTCCACAGCAATTTTGTAGTCAAAATGTCAGCAGCCTTGCTTAGCACAAGAATGCCATAGGCTTATGGCAAGAAATAAATAGCCATCACACAATACAAAGAGAAAACTAGCCCAGTCTACATTCTCTTAACCAGTCAGCTTAAAACTTCACCAGTTCTGTAGCAATTAACATAAAATATCTGTAAATCTTCTACCTACCAATAATAAGCCTTAGGTTATCTACACAGTAGATGTGTAAATCTCATTCCATATGTTGTTGCAGTTCTTCTAAAATAATCCTGTTCTTATATTCATAAAAGGCTAAGCTAAAAGTACCTCCACTAGGAATCCTCATAGAGAACTACCCAAGCAAATTTAATACATATCTGACCAACTCACTCTTCAGCTTGATCGTCTACAAAGACCCTACTGCTCTAAGAGTAAAGTATAAAACTATTAATGTAGCCTAGGTAGTGGTAACGTAAACAATAGTTTAAAAGAAGTACATGGCCTCCCACCATCAGAATGGACACTAGCTATAAATCAATACACCCAAACACATACACACTGACAGTCTCAGATCTGTCCACAAAATCCAGTGGAGCCTAGCTACCCCTTACCCACCTCTCCAAGCGTTTACCACCCAACATACATCTTTCTGTTGACTTCTTAACATTTTAAACATACTATGTCTCTGGCCTAAACTACTCAGGATCCTCACCTTTTCCTGAGCCAGGTATTCTATTTATATTTGCAAATCTGCTGACATCTGTTTTTCAAGGTCATCCTTCTCTGATCATCACCATCTCAAACACCAATTTAATCAAGTTTCCCAGGGTCACCATTGTGGCAATGAATAAACCAGCCATCTGCAACATCATCATCTCATATTGCCACTAATTTGAGTCACAGCTTCTCCACTTCTGCTCTAGCATCCCACTAATGTACCTGGGAAAGCAGCAGAGGATGAACCCCTGCCACTCACATAGACTTAAGACACTTCCTGATCCTAGATTCAGTCTGATCTAGCCCGGGCCATTATAGCCACATGGGGAGTGAACAAACAGATGAACAATTTCTTACGGATACTTACAAAATGAATTTAAAGATAAATTTACTTGGTGCAAAAATACTTTTAAAGATTTATTTTTATTATTTTTTTCATTGGAAAGGCAGATATACAGAGAGGAGAGACAGAGAGGAAGATCTTCCATCCAATGATTCACTCCCCAAGTGAGCACAACGGCCAATGCTAGGCCAATCCGAAGCCAGGAGCCTCCTCCAGGTCTCCCACGCGGGTGCAGGGTCCCAAAGCTTTGGGCTGTTCTCGACTGCCTTCCCTGGCCACAGGCAGGGAGTTGGAAGGGAAGCGGGGCTGCCAGGATAGAACCGGCGCCCATATGGGATCCCAGGCGTGCAAGGCGAGGACCCCAACCACTGCACCACCGCGCCGGGCCCCAAAAATACTTTTAAAGACTTATATGTTTGCGTTTTTTTGAAAAGCATAAAAAGAAAGAAAAATCATTCATTTGCTGTTGTCACTTTCCAAATAACCCCAATAGCCAGGTCTGGGTCAGAGAAAAGCCAGAGCGGAGGAATGCCCTCCTAGTCTCTCCTTATGGATGGCAAGGGCACAAGTATTTGGGTCATTCTCAGCTACCTTCCCAGGTGCATTAGCAGGAACCCGGACAGGAAACAGAGTACCAGGACTTGAACTAGCACTCTAATAGTGGATGCTATCATCGCAAACAGAGGCTTAACCCACTGAACTCAATGCCAGTCCCTGGTGTAAAAAAATTTTGATATCTAAATTTAAGTGAAACAATTTCAAAAAGCCTATATAAAAATCCATATTATGTAAAGCAATGCTTGCAGTTCAAGGTTCACTCCTCGTTGGCAGCCTATATGCTTCCTTCCTAAGTATGGCAATTATGATTCAAAAATCGCTTCTGTGATTACTATTTTCCTCATTATATTTTAGAGAAGAGGCTGTATCTATTTCATTTACTGGTAACCCTACCATTACCAATGTTGCCTAAAGCACAGAAGGAATTTCACAATAATAGTACTCCAGGACTATTTACCACATTTCACACATTTTTTTCCTATTTACTCAAGACATGGCAAGAAAAAAAAAATGCTCTCATATTTGCCAATTCACTCCCCAACTGGGACTTGGCCAATTTCAATGTCAGAAGCTAAAAATCAAACATAGTCCTCAACATGCTTGACAGGACCCCAGTCAGCTGAGCCATCACTTCTGCCTCAAAGGGTCTGCACTAACAAGACACTGGAATTTGAAACCAGACCAAGAATCAAACCCAGGCACTCCAATAATGGATAAAGCCATCTTAACCTGTGTCTTAACTGCCCAAACACCTCTGCATACCTTGTGATAATCACTTTAATAGATGAACTCATCACAGCCCCATGAGGTAACTGTTACAAGGATAGATTATTTTAGATGAGGACACTGAGATACAATCAAGCTAAATAATGGGCCGAAGTTTGAAAGTGAGTAAGTGGCAAGGACACAAGCAGTAGTGCTCCAGAGCCTATGATTTTAAGAACCATACTACACATACTATCAATCTTTGTGGAATGAATTAATGTTAAATCTATAATGGACAGTAAGCTACATCTTTAAGAGAAAGCAGCCAGGAGGCCTCACCTGGGCTCTTGACCTCCTCAGTAGGTGACAGACATACCTCTAGGTAAATAGCTACAGAAATATCCTGTAAAACTCAGATGGCTGGCTTTCAAGGGATCGGCAAATTGAATACACTTTAGATCCACACCGTATTCTCCCAAGGAAATCTTTCTCTGCCAAACCAAACTCCTCTGGTGTGTCTTTCCTACTCTCAGGACATCTCCTGTGTACTAAAAACTTTGCAGACAGCAGTAACACAAGAGAAGTAGCAAAGGTGACCCCAACAACAGCAGAACACTTTCCCCAATGAACTCTCCTCCCCTAACCTCTGTCCCATGCCAAGGAGAAGGTGCTTTACCTTGAAACAAAAATGCTTTGCTGGTGTTGTGCAGTCCAGACACCTGAGTGACTCCGAGGGTGGTGTTCACAAGGTCAAGCTCGCTGATAATATCCATCTGAAGGTCAGGGTCCATCCCAAAGCCCATCACTGCAAAGGAACATGGAGCTGTTAAGGCTTACAAGGCAGACTGGCAGCAGCAATAACAGAACAGAAATTAGAGAGGCACTGATTAACAAGAAATACAGGGAGTCATGAATGACTGCTTCAATAACTCTCTCCCTGGAGAAAAAAGGGGAGTAAATGTGCTCCATCACCCCTGGGCAGCATAGTTTCTCTCCCTACTCTGATTCTCTTAGGATAAATGTGTTTCAGAATTCAGAACATAGCACTTGTTAGAAACGTAATATTGCCCACATGCTATGTGTTAGGTGACACTCAAGCAAAGGCTGATTCAGCATTCTACAACCATGACAATACTTTTGGAATATATATATATCCTCAAAATGGCACTAAAACAAATGCAAAACTGCATCTCAGTTTTGGGTCAATGGCACTAAAACAAATGCAAAACTACATCTCAGTTTTGGGTCAAATTTTACCACCAAGTGAGTTGAACTCAGAACAGGTATGGCTATCAGATGATTTAGGAATAGCTGGCTTTCTTAGCCATCTTTCTAAGCCATTATTTCTGGTAATTAAAAAAAAAAACATAAGTTATGGGCTTGGCATGGTAACCTAATGGCTTAAGTCCTCACCTTGCATGTGTTAGGATCCCATATGGGCACCAGTTCATATCCCAGGTTACTCCACTTCCCATCCAGCTCCCTGCTTTGGCCTGGGAGAGCAATAGAGGACAACCCAAAGCCTTGGGACCCTGCACCTGTGCAGGAGACTCAGAAGAATCCTGGCTTCAGATCAGCTCAGCTCTGACTGTTGTAGTCACTTGGGCAGTGAAATCAGCAGATGGAAGCCCATTCTCTCTGTCTCTCCTCTCTGTAAATCTGACTTTCCAATAAAAACAAATTTTAATGAATACGTAAAAAAAGCATTATTTGTTTATCTGAAAGGCAGATTTACAGAGCAAGAAAAGGACACTCGGAGAATTTTCCCATCTGCTGGTTCACTCTTCAAATGGCAGCAATGGCCCGGAATGCACCGAGCCAAGGCCAGGAGCCAGAGCTTCTTTTGGGTCTCCCACATCTTCCACCTCTATGGAACACGCCCTGTTAATCAGGCACAATCACCTGTAATAAAAAAAAAAGGAAATAAAATGGGACCCTGTAGTTAGAAAAGGGTAACAGGCCAGAAAAAAGAATCCCAAAAAGTGACAGCTATTTATTCCTGGATTCCTGGATGAGAACTTTAGACATTCTGACAACCCTTGTTGGAGAGTGCTAACACAAGAAACATGACCTTGCACTGCCTATTTCCTTGTCTGAAAAAGGCAACTCCCTAAGGAGTCTGTCTCTTACACCGGGGGGGGGGGGGGGGGGGGTGTTGGAATGAATGATTCATTCATGACTACAAAGTGATTTCCAATCATATATATATGGCAAGAGATTCTTCTAAGGTACTGTGTTTAAGCCATTCACAGAGGCTAGGTCTATCTACACTTAGCATTTCAATAGCCCAATTTTGATTGCGCAGTTGGAAATGTTTTAATCAGTAACAGCTGTCAACTTTGGTCTGATGGTAATGCAGTTGTCGAGACAGGATTGGCAGAGCTTGTACCCAATTTGGCCCACAGAGACTGTGAATATTCATCAGGATGCTGTGAGCTATCACAACCTCACCTGTCCTCCCACCTTCATTCCTGGCCCTAAAATGTGAGATGTGCAAGCCACCCTCTCCTTCCTCTTTTCCTTGCAGGAAAAAGGAACTGCTGTAACAACCTAGGCTTCTGTCAACAGAATGGTCAGAGAGGGCTCTTTGAAGTTGAAACCTGTCGTTGTCAAGACTGAAAGAAGCTTAAATTGGAGATACAGTGCATTTGGCTGCCTTCTCAGTTATTGTCAGTTTTCTTCTTGCCTCCTGAAGTGAAAGCTTAAATTTCTCCCTCCCAAATGCAGTCAGTTATGGAACCGGTTTATCCAAACATGACTCCTCCCATCATTCACTCTGCATTCATTTAATTTCTTCAACAGGCATTGCTACATCTTTGCTATGTAACATACAAACTGTAGGCAAAGAAATGTCTTTTCTGTAACTGACAGATCTATGCAAGATGGGAGGTGGAGAAAGAACGGGAAAAAAAACATAAGGCAATCTGAGGTGCTAGCAAAAATCATGCAAGAAATAGAAGGTAACGGCAGGGAAAGCAACTTGGGTAGAGGGTCAGAGAAGGCTCTTTTGAGCTGAAGGCTGAATGACTTGAAGGAGCGAAATCTGAGGAGAAAGTTCTCCACAAGCAGAGAACAATGAGTGCAAATCAGCAACAAATTCAAGAGCTCAAGGAGCAGAGAAATGTTTAGTGCAACTACAAGAGAAAAGGCCAAAAGATAGGTTAGGACCAGATCTCGTAACGCCTTATGATCGACAAGGACGGGATGTTGTTCCACTTCCAACTGAGTATCACTGGAGGCTTATGCGTGAGCAAAGGAAAAGTGTCAACATGCTTCGATTTATACTATTCTATTTATTTTATTTGAAAGACAGTATCTCTCACTCACTGGTTTACTTCTAAATGCCTGAAAAGAACAAGACTAGGCCAGGTGGAAGCAGAAAGCTAGAAACTCAATCCAAGTCTCCCACATGGATAGCAGGGACCCAAGTACTTGAGCCATCACCTATTGCCTCCCAGGGTGCAAATTAGCAGGAAGCTTGAATCAAATGCAGTGGTAGGACTCAACTTAGATTACCTACGGAATGCAGGCATACAACCTGACAAGTTTATGCCAAAGTCCTTCCTCCTGATCTAAATTTTAAATATGATAATACTTTTAAGTTTCCATACCTTTCTTCTACTATTTATCTCATACACAGGCCTACTTCACAAAGACTGGCCCAGTGCCTACTCTTTGCCAAGAACAAGTAAGCTATAGCAGCCCAAGTGATAGCACCAGGAGTCTATTAGAGACGGGTGTTGTTTTTGCCAACTGAGCTCCCATGCTAGCAATTCTGTGATCACCTTGAAAAGACAGGAAAGGAAGTAATATTTCAGTTTGATCTATAGTGTTCTACACTTCTATGGCAGAAATTAAATCAAAGGTGATCGCAAAGGACTTCCAAGCTGGTCTTTTGCAGGCCAGGAATTTGTAAAGTAGTCTGGGGAATGTGCTCTTAGCTGGGCATGAGGAAGCATCCTTGCAGCCACAGTGCCTTGCTCAGGGCCTGACACAGGGTAGCTCCTGAATTTATGACTTAAGTACCTAAGTAAGTGGGAACATGATCATTGCTTGATGCAGTGGCCCCTGAGCAGTATGCACTTCTGGGGACCTGGGGATAACTAGGAGAGGATAGGGGACACGATGTCCAGCAAACTCTCTAAAAGTCTGTAGTTTGTTGTATTATCATCCTTGAATTTTCACACACACACACACACCATATTGACACCCTGTGCTGCCAGCTTTGCAGTTCCTTCCCAAACCTTGACTCTGAGCTCAGCCACATAACCTGTGTGAGCCACTAGGATGAGAATAACATTACACAAGCTGATGCTTGAGTGTGCTTGTGCAGTGGGGCTGCTTTCCTTATACTTTTACCTCAGGAACAGAACATGGCCCTGCGCTGGAGAGGGAGGGGTTGTTCCACAGAAGTGACTCGGGCATCTGGAGGAGTTTAGAACCAAGCCTGGTCAAACCAGATCTAGATGATCAACACCTATACAACCTACATGCATGTGAGGTAAAATAGTGATGACTCTTGCAAGCTTTAGAGTTCTGGGCGGTCTCCTTTGCAATATTATTGAGACAATAGTTTAACTTATAGAAACTTAAGACTCACTATGACAGCCATTTTTAAGTTGCTCAAATCCCCCAGACTAGGAACCCAGCAACTGGGCAGGACCAAAGGAATCCTAACTGTGCAGAACTTAAACACCCCCTGGGATCCCCGCCTTCAAGTAAAAGCACACCACTCTCAAGCCAGGAAGTATTACAAGAAGACTGCACTTCCAGGCAGCTCCAGCCCCACTTCCTCCACGCACAAGTTCTGTGCCGATGGGAAAGACCCACCACTCCTCAGGGCCAGTTTTCTATTTTGTGAAAACACTGTGTAATTCCTGCCTCCCAGACCCATGACTTCTCAATGCCCATGACACGAGCACCCTAGCAGCTCACCCTGGCACATAGCTGGGACCCAGCTGGGGTTTACTTCATCTGTCTTTCACAAGCCATCCCTGCTCCCTGGAACCATACAAGAGGGACAGATGGTTTTCTTCCTCCCAAATCCTCTCCATTCTCAACTGACCTAGAAGGGCTTTCTCTCTCTGGGTTTGCTTCTGAACTCTGCATATTAAGTCTATATTCATTCCCCAACCTCTAACTCAGAAGGGAAGAGGTTCCCCTGGTTTTAACACAACACTACTGCTCTTGCTATGAAAGCACTCCGTGAAAACAAAACAGGAAAAAAAAGAAATCAATTAGGCTTCTAGATTACAGTTTTCTTCTCTCTTTAATTGGACCCCTTTAGAATGAAAATGTCTGTGCCAACAGCAAGATGTGTAAAGGATAGCACTTTGCACACTGCCTAGAGAATCAGAAAACCTATTAATAAGGCAGCATTTACATGGCCTCTCCTGAACCTTATGTAATGTAAGAGCACTGGTTCCACTAATTTTTTTATTTTAATGTTTCTGCTTTTGGTCCAAGCATGGAGCTCCTGTCCTTTCCTAGGAAAGTCCATTACAGCTTTCTTCTTTGCACATAATGATTCTACAACTGGCCGAAGCTTGGAGTTAGAATTAAACAGGATAAAGAGCTCCTGGAGATGATACATTTTAAAAATCTGGAAGGCAACACATCAATGTCACAGACACACTTTAGGACTAACCCTGGGATTCAGGAACTCTGAATTAACCGAAACACCTGCTGCTACTTCTGCTTCTGCTTCCGCTACTTCTGCTGCTGCTGCTGATGGCCATCCCATGGTCCTGCCCACAGGCTAAATAAAATCCCACTCATTCCATCCTTGAGGCCCAGAACCAGGATTCCCAGCAAACCCTCCTTCCTGGGTCTGACTCACTCCAAGTCTAACCAATTCACCGGCCAGAATGGCAGCTGTTTTCCTGGTCCAAGCAGAGTAAAATGATGCCACAAAGACACTTCTAGAAAGGATTTCACAACTACTTGATCAGTTCTTAATACCACAAAAACAGTTTTCCTGAAGATCCACTCTGTCTGTTCCATGCTGGCCAATATTTTCCCTGATCTCTGGGGCTGTGGGCTGGTGCTCACAGACCCATTATTCAATTCACAGTTAATGAGCCTCTTGAGAGTTGCTACAAAAAGAAAATCTCTCTTTTCCATCAGGTGGCAGTCCAAGGCATTTGCTGGGCACTTAGGGGCACCACAATTACCCCATTTACCCCCTATGTTGCTTACAAAAACAAAGGAGAAAACAATGGGGGAATAAACATTGAGTTTATATTATTTACAGTTGCCAGCCATTGGAGAAAATTTATGGATGCAGTGTGTTATTACTGCCATTATTGTAGCTTTTAAATTTTCATGGTTAGTGATGTACCTGGAAATTGCATAATTCTATTTCACCCAGAAATAACAAGAATTGCAGCACAGTGCCCCCTATCTTGATTCCAAAGTACAGCTTCAAAAACTTCCCTGAACAAGCTATGCATGCAGCTTCATTATGACACCTATCATTAGATCTTTTCATATGTAACTGCTTCTGCACTGCAGTCTTGCTTTAATTAAAATGTGCCTGATATCATCTATTCATTTCCATTAAAAGGCTGTGATATCTGAGTAGCTCACTAAGCGAACCACATGTTTATTTCATCTAGGACTGTTAGCAGCCCAGAGAACAATTGTCTCACTTGACAAATAAACTTTTTTCAAACAACTGTTTGGATCCTGATAAACTAATCACCAGCCTACCCTTGCTACCTAAGAAAGGGACGGGGGTGTGGTGTGGGAAACCATCAAACATGGTGTCCACAGAAGCTTTTGCTTATACCCCTAAAGCGATGGGAAATTTCAAGAGAGAAGCTGGAAGAAACCCTCCTCCCTTTCCTTGTCTCTGACTCTGATGATTTGTGTGGAAGACAAGTGTTCCAGCAGTGTCAAGCAGCACTGAGACCCCAAGCTTTCCAGGTAACAGCCACACCCAACAAGTCCCCTCCTTCTGTGCCTTACTGACTTCGCACAAGTTGTTCCGTCTGCCCGAGACTTTTTCCCACTTGTACCGCCTGGGAAAACTCCCTGAGAAGCCTTCAAGGGATGATTCTGAAATATCACCTCCTCAGCAAAGTCTTCCCTGCACAGAATTAGTTGAACCCCTTGCCTTCTTCTCTGTATTTTTTTTAACACCAACTTCCTCTCTACCCCCATGAAACTACATAGTAAAAATGCTTTCCAATCTCCATCTGGATAGACACAGACTCCTAGAAGTCAAAGACCAAGTCATTTCCTCTCTACAGAAGCAATTCAGGCACCCAGCAAGACATTCAACTACTGAATGAATAAATAAACATGAGTGAGTCTCTGCCTACAACCAAATTCTTACATGATTTAGAGCAAATGGAGTCTGGGGAAGAGATGCAGCAAAGACCCTTGTTTTTACAAATCTCCTCCGAGAACAGCTTGCCTACAGCTGCAATCCTCCACAGAGGAGGGCACTTCGGGACTTTTCAAAAACTGGACTTCTCAAAAAAGCAAGCATGAGAACAAAGGCGTGCTTGGCCACCATTGTCATGATAAACACTTAGGGATGCCGGGGTCCACTGGGCTGCCTCCTGCCCCATCACCTCTGTGGCTGTCTTCCTTTCCTCCGTAAGATACCCAGCATGCCAGGCTCTGCACCAGCATCCTGCACCAACATGGGGGTCGCTCCTCCCAGCGTGCTCCACAAGTCTAAGTCATCCCAGTGTAGCTGAATTTAAGAAGCAACTTTCCCAGGTTAGATGGAGCCCAGGTGCCCAGAAGCCTGGGAAATTCCGACAAAGATAAGGAACCTGGCATTCTTTTGTCCCTGAAGAAATCCATACTCCACGTTTTTCCATAAGCAAAGCAGAACTGCTGCCAGCTGGGGGTCCTGAGGAAACTGGAAACTCCCAGGTGCACCACTTGGGACTCCTTGGCCAGGCCAACGCCTGGGGCGCAATCAACCAAACTTTTGAGATTACCAAGGGCTGGAGTCCTTCACTCCGAACAAATGTGTTCCCTGGCCTGTGAAAGAAGCTATTCCTCCAGAGAAGGGAAAGGAGGGTGGGAAAGAAGGGAAAAGAAAAGTCACACCCAAAGAACCAGACATCCCTCTCGGGTATGAAGTCCACAGGACGCACCAAAAGAGGAAGGCAGGGAAAGTGAAGATCCCCGCCTCTCTCCCAAGCCGACAGCCCCTAATGTTGCGAATTTCCTAGCTCGCCCTTTCACCTCGACCTCCCTATCTACTGCTGGCACCCTGAAGAAGGCAGCTGCCAGTCGAACCCCGGGAGACTGGGGGTAGGGGAGCCGGTGGAAACGGGAGGAAGGAAGTGCACTCCCAATCCTTACAATCGCGTCCCGGGAGACAGATGGAGTGGGGACTCGAGAGGATGTGTCCAGTTAGCCCTGCTGCCACTCCCAGCCCCGCAACTGTAGCCAGAGAAAACTGGCTCCGAGGCTTGGGGAGACCTCCTTGGACTGTCTCCACTCCGCCAATTTCCCACAATAAGTGTGCGTCCAGCCCTGGGCAGGGGAGAGGGAATGTCCCTAGAGCTCCCCTGGGGCAGTGGGGACGGAACCTGAAGGGCTCGCGGGATCCCGGGGCTCTCCCTCAGCCCCTCTCGGCGCCGCACCCTCCCGGCCCCGGCCGCGCCCGCCGCCCGGAAGCGCTCCCTCTGCGGGCGCGACTCGGGGGCTGCCGGTCCTGACCCGGCGAGACTCGGCAAGCGGTTTACACCGCACCTTTTAAGTTCGGGGATGTGGAGCTCGAGGGTTCGCCCCGCTGCGGGTTTTGCTTCTCTGGGTCAGGAAAGCTACCGCCGGCAGCACCGGGGTGCGACCCTCACTCCTGCGTCCGCTGGGCCAGGTCCTTCAGGAACAAGGCGCGCATCCGGAGCATCTTCTGACCGGTGAGTCCCGTCCTCACCCTTTCACCCCGAGCGGGGACAGAGCGCCGAGGGACTGACCCAGGCGAACGCCCTTCCCAGACCAACGCAAAGCTCCAGGTCTCAGCGCTGGACACAGCGGAGGGGTTGGCTCCACTACCGGTCGCCCCCAGCCCCCACAACCACTCCAGCCTGGGCTTACCTGTCCTAGCGATGCACACGCAGAACCACACAACTAAAATCACCTCCGTCGGCATCGCTCCGAAGGGTTCCCCGACCACGGGGGCACGCCGAAGGCAGCAAAAAAAAAAAAAGAAACGCGCCTGGATGCGGAGGCGCGCCGGTATCCGAGCGGCCAAACTTGCTAGCAGACGGCGGGGGAGGTGGCTCGGAGGCGCCGGGTGCCGCGCTCGGGGATTGCGCCCGCAAAGGCGGCCCCGGCCGCCCCGCCCCCAGCCCGCCCCCCGCGCCTCGGAGCTCCGGCCCGGCTGCGGCTGCGCTCGCCTCAGCGCCGGCGAGGGAACGCGCGCCTCAGCCGCTCCGGCAGGCTGCGCTCCGAGCTGGGCGCTGACCCGCTCGCCTCCGGCAAGCCACGAAGCTGCCAAGGCTCCTGCGGTGGCGCGACAGCTGCTACCCCCGGGATACCATAGACGAAGTTCCGGGGGACCGTCGGCCAGAAAAAAAAAAGGGGGGGCTGGGGGCTCGCGGCCCGAAGCGCTCCAGCCCAGCCTGGCTGCCTTTTCCGCTGTGGCCACCAGTTCCTCAGCGCAGCGGAAAGGGCGACCAAAGTTACCACAGTCCCTCCCCGCCGCCGGACCCTAGTGGGTGGTGGGGTTCCCTTCCGGAGACCCAGGCCGACGCGGCGCCACCAAGCGTGCCCGGCCCCTCCTCGGAAGACAGTTATGTGCTCTGGCGACTAGGTGGGCAGGACCGGGAGGATACCTGAGGGGGAACCCCGACTCCGTGCAGCTGGACACCTACCACTGGGTCCACGCTTTGGGGTGAGGCCGCTGAGCTGGAGGCTGTGAGAAACAGGGTCCCTGAGCCCGAACCAGCTGTGGTTGGGGTTTGGGGAGCCTGTTTGCAGGACAAATGCTGCCACACAGGGGAAATTCCGCACCATTTTTTCCCCCTTGCTTGAGTTTGTTGATAATTTTGTCAAGACACTCTCCCTTCATGGTCACATTTCAGTCTCTCCGGCAAGTCCTCTGGGACACTATCTGCTTTCCCCAACACCATTCTTGGCACAATAAAGCAGAGCTTTGCAATTGGCCTGTGGGCAAAAGAAGGTTCTTTCAGCTTCTAGGTGACCCCTTCTGGATGCGGCATTTTTCCATGAAGAGCTCCCAGGTTGGAGGCCTCAGTCCTGTTTCCTTCTGCCCTGCTTCTATTCGGGGCTATTATTTATGAGTGAAATGAAGAGTGCGTGAAGTTAGAAATGACAGAATTTCTCATTTCCACCACACGATGGAAAGTCCCCAGCTCTCCAACATGCCTGACACATAGGGATCCAAGAGGAAAGAGGGGGAATACTTTTCTGAAGGGCCCTCCATTTCCTAATTCCTGGGAAGCAGTCTAGGCGCTTCTCACTTCCTGCTCCCTCTCTCACTTCTCATACCCTTAGTTACTACTTAAGTTTGACTGGGAGATCCCCAATGAAGTTCTCCAAACTTACAACCCCTCCTATTAGTATAAAGGCTTCCCTCGCTTCCCTCCTCCTGGCTTTGCCCTATTTTTCTGGGTATTTCGGTATGCAAATCGCTGTCCCCTGTGGCCCTTTACATTGTAGTCCTTTGGCAGATGAAAATGAACAAGCCAGTAAATTCCAGTCCAAGAAACTCCCATGCAACCCTTCCTGGGCTGGAAAATGAGAGGCAAACTGATATCAAGGCTGGGCTGCTTCTGCAGCTCCACCAAAATTCAACTCAGGCCCAGAGGGGATTTGTCTTTTCATTACACAGTTGGGCTTTTCCTTTCAGCCTGGAACATGTTACATTTAAAGCTGACATTAAAATCACATACCTTGCAGAAAATAGGATTTCCTAGGACAGGCTGGGCCCGGTGGACAAGGACACCATATACCACGCTGCATTGTGAGAACCACGTCTCCAACTCTTCTGCAGACTTCAGTAGCTTTGGACTGTTGTTCCTAAGTCCTTTCAAAAAAAAAAAAATCATGTGGTCTATTAGTGTGAGAGAGAGAGCAGTCCTCCTGACGGGTCTACTCCGTGCTCACAGAAGCCAGGGCAAGGCCGAGTGAAATGCAGGTGCTCAGTCCTGATATCATTACTGCTGCCTCCCAGGCTCTACATTATCAGGTGAACGAGAATCAGGTGCCAGAGATCACAGGCACTCTGACGTGAAATATAGGTATCTTATCTGCTAGTCTAAATCCTCATTGCCGCCAAGACCCTTCTCTTAATGTAAGAAATTCTAAAATCCCTGGAAGCTTTGGTGTACCTCACAGAGTGGCCTGTGCAATACCTTTAGCAGTCTCTAGCTTCATGTCTGTGTAATTAGCTAGTCCTCTGGGATGGGTCTTGTAGCTTCTTCCATTAAAAAAGATAGCAAGATATATGTTCTATTATAGCTTTGCAGCTTCACATCCATTAATAGTAACAAGAGTTCATCTCACCAAACTCATAAATCTTTCCTAGAAAGCTAAGTACTTCAACTCTTAGCAACACATTTCTTGGGAATTTTGAGTATGTAGGCCTGTTAAACTTAGTAGGCCCAGCACATTCCTATAGATACAGTGAAGGGATCGCATAGCTCTATATGCGTGACAGCTGGCTGTTACAATAAGATATGTACTCTGCAGTGGCAGCAACGAGACTTGCCTTTCCCAAGCCCTCGCTCCCAATGGCTTTAATCATCTCTCTGTCTTTTCTTCCTGACCCTAATTAGTAGAGAGCTCCAAGGTTGAGTCTTCAGTCACATTCAATCCTTGTTATTCTCATCAATCTTACGGATTTAAATAAATCTATACCTGGGTGTCTCTAGAATGTGATCGCCAATCCCAACCACTATTGACTCCCCCCCATATTAGACTGAAGGCTACATCATAAAATTGTAAACACTTGTGATTCAGAGAGATCATTAAGGAAATCAAAACTTGCTTAAGACGCATCTGGTTGGGGTTTGGACCTACAGCTGCCTCCCAGAGTAAATTATCAGGTAACTAGGGTCAGGTGCCGGAGATTGCAGTCAGGCACTCTGATGTGAAATGCAAACTTTTAAAGCCAATGTTAAAATGCCAAAAAAAAAAAAAACCTGAATAGACTTTTCTCCTAAAAATGTATACAAGTGGCCAATGGACATATGAAAAGATGCTCAACCTCATTAGCCTTTTAGAAAATTAAAAAATCAAAGCTACTTCACACCCACTAGAAAGACCACAATCAGAAAGACACATAATAAGTGTTGGTAAGGACAGGGATAAATTGGATCCCTCATATACCCTATTATGAATATAAAATGGTTCTTCAAACAGGTAAGCAAGGAATTACCACATTGTCTAATAATTCTACTCGTAGGTATTCACACAAAAGAAATGATAACATATTCACAAAGTACTATATACATAGATATTTGTGGCGTTATTTGAAATAATAAAACACAATTCAAATAGTGATAAGCTGATTAATAAAATAGGGCATATTTCTACAATAAACAGGGAAGAATAAAGTACAAATACATGCTACAACACAGATGAATCTTGAACCCACAAGAAGTGAAAAAATTCAGTCACAAAGGAACACAACCATATGATCCCTTCTAAGAAACATTTAGAATAGGTAAATCCAACTCTTTTCCAACACTCTAGCAAAACATTGGTACTTTTGTTGCTAAACTGTTAACTTCATGTTGATGAAAGTTTACTATTTTTCTCCCTATTGTGGACTGTGTATACTGACTCTGTCTTTAAGGGGATGCATCATGGAAGTGTAGCAGAAACTGGTATGTTGAGAGGTGGAAACAGAGAGCAGTATGTCTAAATGTATTCAGAACGCGGATGGACTCACAGTGAAATGGCTAAAACATCCTGACAGTAGGATGTTGGACGCTCTAACATTGTCCATGCCTACATTGTTGGGAAGCACTTCAATGGCAGCATAATGGACTTGTGAAAGTTCATGAAAGATACCCATTGTAAAACTAGAGGGGAAATCAGTGGGGAGGGGAGGGAAAGTAGAGAGAAGGATGGGCAATCCCAGTGCCTATTAAACTGTCATAAAACAAATAAAAAAAGAAAGACATAAAAAGCAAATGATAAGATAATAAGAAGAAAAGGAATAGGCAAATCCATAAAAACCAAGTTTATTAGTGGTTGCCTTCCAGTTGAAGAGTGAGGAGAGTGAATTAAAGAACCAGAGCTAAGGATTGTGAGAGTTTTAGGGGAATACTCCAAAGTTGATTGTGAAAATGTACATAAAATTCTCACAGATAAAATATATTACATTAAATTGTAGACATTAAACAGGTGAATTGTATGCTTTGAATTATATCCCAAGAAAACTGCTCTTGAAAAGTCTTTAAAAATCATTACACTTCTTTTTTTTTTAATTTATTTGTTTTTATTGGAAAGGCAGATATAAAGAGAGGAGGAGAGACAGAGAGAAATATCTCCCATCCTTTGATTCACTCTGTAAGCGGCCACAACGACCAGAGCTCAGCCAATCCGAAGCCAGGAACCTCTTCCGGATATTCCACATGGGTGCAGGGTTCCAAGGCTTTGGGCCGTCCTCCACTGCTTTCCCAGGCCACAAGCAGGGAGCTGGATGGGAAGTGGGGCTGCTGGGATTAGAACCAGTGCCCTTATGAGATCCTGGCATGTGCAAGGTAAGGACTTTAGCCACTAGGCTTCCTCACCAAGCCCAATTCATTGCAGTTCTGTAAAATTCATGACAAAAAAAAATTGCAGAATGATTTCAGGACAACATTTGGCTTTTTTTGTCCTCCAAAACTTGCACCCTAATGACTTCTGAGGAGATGGCACAAGCTTTCACCAGTTACTCAAACCAAAAAAAAAAAAAAAAAAAAAAAGGTCACCTTCAACATGTTGCTCCAATCCAAGCCATCAAGACCCTGTTAGCACGTGTTAAATTAGACCAAGCCAGTCACTCCTACCACCACTATCACACCCATCTTGTTCCAGTCCATCAGGATCACTTCCTGGCCTGAGCATTAGACTCTCAATTGTTCTTTCTGCCTCTGTTCTTGCCCTCTCAGCTCTCTCAACACCAGGAGTTATACTCTATTTTTAAAAATATGTATCAAGGGCCAGCTAGATGGCACTGCAAGTTAAGCCATCACCTGTAACATTGGCATCCCACCAACATCCTATATTGGAGCACTGTTTTGAGTTCCAGCTGCTCTCCTTCTGATCCCGCTCTTTGCTATTGGA